AACAGGAAATCAAACATAATCTGGAGCTGTATTTTCTTATCTCCATGCGCTGCGCCGATAGTGAGCAGTAAAATAAATACACATACAAACACGCTATTGTGTATTCACTCAGAAGCACCAATGTACTGTGGAACAATCCACGCAGTTGTTTGTGCTGAAAGTTGAGAGGCATGTAATCACCAGCACAAATCTGCTGAAAAGAAGGAGGCGATAACACAAACAGATAAGTTGGAAGGAGGAAAAAATGAAGGTAAAACTGAAAGGAACGAGGGACAAAGAGTTGCAAAAATAAGTAAAAAAAATGAAGTGACTGATTGAAGGATTAAACACCAGTGGTTTGAGTAGTGAGAGAAGTGAAAGGTTAGTGAGCCAGAGGTGGCTTTCCAGTCATTTCATTGCAAATGCTGGCCTTTGTCAGCTCTCCTCACAATGTTGCCTGCAGCAACGGCTCTCAACAGCTGTCACAGCTGAACTTTCTGGCAGCGTCAATATGGCCACAGATGGGGTTCATGGCATTATTCTGATACGGCAAAGACTTCTAACCTGCCCCGAGCAAAATCACCAAAGGATCCAAGTTTTTTAAGTAAAGATGTTAACTAAATGATTATTTTACATGACAGCTGATTTCCTCTCAGTAAAATCTTTCAGAGCTTCTTCACATTCAGGTAAAGACCAGACAGCTGAAACTGGTCTTGACGACAGCACAAGTGTTTTGTGGAACATGACAACACATCTCTGTCAATTTCTGAAGTTTCTGTCAAATCCAACAACCTTCCAAACACTAAATGCAGTAAGCGTACACCGAGTGAGCTGAAAATGGAAACTCTCAAACCGAGGCAACCGACAGAGTTTCAGAAAGGTAATCAAGACTACAGGAGGCAGAAAAATAGAAGATAAACTATGATGATCTTTTACCGTTTCCCTGTGGGGCTCCCAATTTAAACTGAAGTCACTCTGTACCTGAGACCAGATGAGATGGAATCTCGCTGGTGTTCATATGGGACTCTGAGTCATTACCGGCGCATTGGTTTTGGAATCAAACAGTTGCGACGGCAAATCAGGGGAACAAAACCGCAAGGATTCGGCAGCTCAATTGACATGCAGCGTGCAATTAACTTTATAATCTGTTTACAAATGAGGTCTACCCTGTCGCAATCTCTAGAGTGTGTGGGTGTGTGTGTTTGCATGCAAGCGAAGGCATTTCTGTACCGAATACATGTACATTTTCATATGCAGGCAAAAAAATAAAATAAAAAGGATTTATCATCCCCCCACATCTAAGAGAAACAAGGACGAAAATGTAATGACAATATGCATTAACTCTTGACTGTGTGTTGGCAAGATTTATGTGCGCAGCTCTTAATGTGAAACCCAGAAGAGCAGGAGGAACGCAAGATAAAGACAAAAAAAAGGAAGAAAAATAGGGAGTGCTGCGTTACTTTGGAAAAAAGGGCATTTTTCCAACATTGAATGATTTATTGAGATGAGCTAAAATAGTTTTGCATATGAGAAAGGACAGAAAAAAAGCATTTGCCAATACATTAGAGAAAGTGGATAGGTGTAGTTAAAGCCGGGCTGTGCCATTCCTCTGAGGTGGTTGGAAATAGCTCTTAATCAGGCACAAAGTGATATGATTACGCTCATCCGAAGCGCACAAGCACGCGGATCACTTTTAGCACTGTTTTGTCTACTGAGAGAACTCATGGTCTTCTCACAGAAACCCAAACACGTCTCGGTGCATTACGCTCTTCTGTTGTCTTTTTCCTCTCTGCGTCTGGCCTGCCTGTCCGTCTGCGTCCATTCGATCAGTTCAGAGGGTACACATGCTCTCCAAAGACAGCTGCCGAGCACCGAGCATGTCAGCCGCAGCCCGTCTGACATTTGAAAACAGCTCACAATTTACTCAGGAAATTACTTAGGTGTAAATAGCTGCTGCAGTGCCCCCTGAGGGTAGAAAAACATGTTGCTGCAAAACGCAATTTAAAGTTTCGATAATTCATTATTTTTTTTCTGCAATCTCTGACTTTTATCTGTTTTATTCCCTTCTGCCTTGGTGATTTATTTTTTTCTTTTTTGTGCTTCTTTTTCTCCTTAGGCCACCCCCAAACAGCTGAGCTATAAACATTAAAGCCAAGAAGCTAGCACTGCTCTCACAGCAAAATACCATTATGTCAAATGAATGCTTTGTTTTAAAACGGTGCTTTGGATGCCCGTGTGCTCCCTGCTGATTATTTCTGCATTCCCAGGTGATGCTGGTTGCAAAACAATTGCCTTCCTTTATATTCTGATGCGATATACATTAAAGATGAGACGGCGCTGATGGTTGCCGCAATAGCTTGTCATTAGGTTGTTATTGGCAGTGAAAGTCAGCTGACACATTGGGATACTGTACATCATGCAAACTGTAAACTCAGAACTTAACATAGACCCATGAATAAAGGAACTGTCAGCTCTTTTCTTCAGTGATTCAGAAAAAAAAAAGTTTAAAGACAATATCTTCTCCTGCAGTCTGACCTGTGGTGTTACATGAATATACAGATGAAATTAAGAAAGGATATTTGAGAGAAACGAAGAAAAAGCCCTACAGGTCCTCAGAAAATGAAAAATAAAATATTATTATTATTCAGGATTTAACCACTGGGGAAAGAATACATTTTCTTCTTCATTTTCAGAGCCAATGGAGTATTGGGAGTCACTACTTGTGACATATGATAAAATGTATTTAACCATGCATAAACAATATTGGTGTCTTTATTGTCCTATGCAGCAGCTCTGGGATTCATATTTGTCTGAAATAAAAGATGAGCTAATGCTGTGTGATTTTGGGGAGCTGGATCCTTCTGAATAATAATGTGAACAACTGACATACACTGATCAGCCACGACTCTAAAGCCACTGATAGGTGAAGTGAACAGCATTCTTGTTACAGGGGCAACTGCCAGGAATTGAGATACATTAGGGAGAAAGTGAACATTCAGTTCTTGAAGCTGACACGTTGGTGGCAGGAAGAATGGGCAGCGTGAGGATCTGAGCAATTTTGGCATCAACCAAATTGTGATAATTCCAATGACTGGGTCACAGCAACTCCAAAACAGCAGGTATTGTTGGCTGTTTCCAGTATGCAGAGGTTAGTATCAACCAAGAGTGGTTCGAAGGAAGACGACCGTTGTACCAGCAACAGGGTCATGGGCGAACCAGGCTCACTGACACATGTCGGGAGCAAAGGCCGGCCCAACCTCAAAGAAGAGCTGCAGCACAAACAACGAAAAGCCTTACTGTTGGCTATGAAAGAAAGGCGTCTCTGATTACACAGTGCATCACAGCTTGCAGCATATGGAGACTGCTCAGGCCATACTGACCCCTGTCAACCGCTGAAAGCTCCTACAGTGGGCACGTGAGCACTGGAACTGGACTGATGACGGCAAAGGCAGCGTGTTGCTCTGAGCAATGTTTCGCGAGGAAACCTTGGGTCCTGGCCTTCATATCGATGTTACTTTTACACATACCATCAACCTAAACATTGCTGCAGACCTCGCACACCCCTTCATAGGAGTGATATTCTCTGATGGCAGTGGCCTCTTTCAGCACGATAACATCCTGCTACACGGCAAACTTTGTTCAGGAATGGTTTGAGGAACGCAGCATCCTCTTTTCTTACTTGGATAAACTTGTCAAAAATGTAACAAGAACAGGGGGTTGGCATGATGGATGCTGGCATGTCGGTTAGAGCTGTAGCCCATCACTCAAATGTCCACAACGCCACCATTTGTCATCTAAGGAATCCTTTCAGACAGCTCTGGATGGAGGTGCATGACAACATGATCAAGATCTGCCAAATTCACCAATCAGTTCTTCAGGAAGTGATGGACATTGTTCCACAAACCAGCATGTGTGACTCATTACTGACTTGTGATTTCTGGTCTATGACCCCAATCTCTATCTGCACATTACCATTTGTAATAAAGCACCTGCTTCATTGCGTCATGATGTCCATTCTGTTGGAGAGATGCTGAAACAACAAACCTTTGTTCCCCTAAGTTAAAAAGAATGACTGGTATCTAATAAAATACTACATGTTGTATTAATATTTTTCTTCAGTACACTATTAGATCTTGACTTGGCCTCCAGTTTCCTCAGATCTCAATCACCACCTCACAACTTACAGGCTTAAAGCTGCTAAAGTTGGGCTGTTATGGTGGCATGAGGGGGACCAACACAATTTGTTGTGGCTGATTACTGCTTGATCCTTGGTATTTACATTTATATTAAAGGCAGAACGACTAAAATACAAGTAAAGTGAGCCATTCGCTCACACTTTTACTGCAATAAAACTCGAGGGAGACAGCTTATTGGTTTTCTCACTACAAATGATAAAAACAAGCCACAATTTTGTTCATGTTTCCCCTCTGCTCCTCAGTTCCACTGTAGATTAAGGCCAGACTAAAGAAATGTTTTTTTTTGTTGTTTTTTTTTAAATAAGACGGCAAGAAGGCTGCTAGATGTGGCAACAAATTAAAGGCAGTAGTGAAGGATGACACTTGTATCATCATGTAAGAGGGGAAACAAAGATCCACTATCACAAAAAAAGTGAAGAGTGTGGACTGCGCGACACTAATAGGAAGTAGTGATTGAGAGCCCTAATGGAATAACACACACCTCCACCCTGGTCTGCCCACTTTAGCAGAGAGAGGTGTGCGTGAGTGTGTGTGTGGGTGACCACTGGCCAGATAATGACGACCCATAATGCATTCTGTGGCGACAGCGGCTGCGGGCTCTCTCGACGGTAAGACCACACATTCTACGGTGTGGTCGGGATGGATAGAGCAGATGGACGGAAACTAAAAGGATACAGAATAGGGAGTGTAGAGCGAAGAGAGCGTGTTTGTGTCAGAAAATGAGACAGGTGATGAGGTAACAAGCTGTGGTAAAAGAGAAACAGGGAGAAAGACAGTGAGCAGAAGAGAAAGCTGAGGGGGAGAAAAGAGGAGTTCCACTCTTACCATGTCAATGAGGCTCTCCTGGATCCGGTTCAGTGTGGTTCTCAGTCTGCTGCTGATAAGGCCCAGACCTGATGACTCATACTGTAGAAATCATAGACACACACACACAGTTAGTGTCTGCACCGTGCACTAACACCTTCCTCTAGAAGAGCACACACTTCAGCAGAGTGTGAAAGCACGCACACGCACACACACACACACACTGCAACATCTGCTCTCATCTCACGTAGTCGGAGACGAGAGAATCTTTACTTTCTGCTTCTAGCCGACTCTAATCCTAAAAAGGGACGAATAACCGGGAAGAACAGACATCAAAATCAGACAATCACACCGACTACAGCAGATGACAGACGAGAGAAAAGAGCATCGCGGAGAGGGTGAAAGCACAGCAAACTGAACATCTAAATGCCTTAAAAATCAATTTCAGATGCGCTTGATGTCACTCGACGAAGCAAATCACGCACATCTTAAGGGCTTCAAAACAACCACACCACACATGTTAGTATTTTCTACTCACAAGGCAGCACAACCCTGTATATTTGTCATAACACTTCAGGTTGTACTCTTACCAAGCAAGCAGGACCCACCACCCTGGCAGGGCCTGTCTCTCTGCCACCGTGAGCTGGCAAAGATGGGCTTGGGACAGGCTATGGAAGACGAATGGACAGCAGAAAGGAAAAACAAGAAGCAAAGTCTCAAATTTGAAAAGCAACACTGTGGAGAAACTACTACAGAGCTGGAAGAACAACAACAAAGAAACAAGCAAACAAAGAAACTGAATTAGATTAATGGAAGTAATGAGTGGAATCACTCCTGTACACGTCTGCATTACTCTCGCCTCGCAGTTTAATGGACTTTAATTTAAGACCAGAAGAACACTGTTGTGACTGATCAGAAACTGCTGATCAGACAGGTGAGGTAAAGGAATAATCAACATTTGCTGCACCTCAGACCATGTAGCAGAGGGTAGCCTCCTGAATTAGACAGTAGTATCTGTTGTTGTAGTAGCTGAACATGGATTTATTCTGAATCTGAGAAGGCACCGAGATGTGTGTTGATAAAACCGTCTGAAACACCTAAGGTTGAGTTGGTTTCTTTTGGAAACTTAAAATCATTTTGAGAAGCTCTAAAATGCACCATTAAAGGCACATTCCACCAGTTTTGCCAAGGAGGTTCAGTTTGACTGTTTGAACCCTAAAACCTACCAACACATTGCTCTATTTTTATTTTTTTTAATTGCCAAAATAACACCATTATCAGAGAAGGAAGAATTGCAACACTCCAATACTTTTTGAACTCATCACAAGATATTTATAGATTCATCCGGAAAAAAAACAACCAAATCTAAAACCTTAATCTTAGGCAGGATGAAGAAATTACAATCAACATACTTTATACGATTCACTTATTGAATTTAAGAATTGTATTAGTTAAAGATTTGCTTGTAGTAGATTCACCAGAAGCACCAGATTCTGAAAAAAATATTAAATAAAAAATTCTGCGCTCAGTCACATGCCAACAATTCAGGGACTTTTTTGGCTGAACTGGGTTGAACTGCAGGCTGTGTTTACAAAAAGCAGACAGGACTCAAGTAGACACATGAATCAAATACGTAAGAAGTAAAATATTTATAGTATGTAGAGCCACCATTTTTTCCACCAATATTGGTAACATCTGTTGGCACTTGGAAAAGTGTTGCACCATTTTTTATTTTTATTTTTTTGTGGAGATTCATTTCATTTCTTTCATTTTTTTTTTAGCTATATAACTGACATGCTGCACCTATGCGAGTTTCAGTTCTCCCTGCTTCCCACCATGGTTGTGCTGTTTCCGTACAAGTGTGGGACTTTATATTGCAGTGAAAAATGTCTGAGGTTCCGAGGGTTAAACATCTGGAGAAGCACTAAACATCCAGTAGTTGAAAACCAGTTGTATAAATAACCGTGATGAAGTCAACATTGATCTCTGCGTGAGTCTGAGACGTCGTAATTTGACAAACTGAATGTGGCCGTTTGTAAAGATGCGGTCATTTAGGAGGCAGGTTGGGTCAGATGAAACGTCTCACAGAGTTGTTTTATGGGAACTGAAGAAGCCAGCATTTTTGGAGCCTGACCGACACAAGAGATAAAAACTCAGGATACCTCAACTCCTCCTCCTCGGGTTTTTTTGGAGATATAAGGCAATAACAGGAGTCAGTGGATGTTCTGTTGTACGTTAGGTCACAGGTGACTCTGCACATGTGCTTACAAGATAAATAACATCCAGCATAAAGAACAGTCTGTGGGAGTCAGGAGTCGAGAATGAAAAATAACAATTTCTTGTATTATCGTTCATTTTTCAGAGAAGCCATCAATTCAAGTGTCAGATACTTTCCCGTTCTACACTCTCTCTCTCTCTCTCTCTCTCTTTGTCTCAACCCCCTTTTTTTCCAGCCTGATTATTTCAGTAGGAAGTCTTTCACCTCCCCCATTTCTGCCATCATATTTTAAAATAGAATACATATTCTTCTATCTTTATCTTCCATCTTTCACGTCACATCTTCCTCTCTTTTCCTCGACGCGTTCCCCTTCTGTCTCTTCCTAGAACTGACACTTAAGTGAAATATCCGAGTTAATCCCACGGGGTGCAGCTTTCCATAATTTTTGAAACATTAATCACTTTTCCAAAAATGTGTTTGTAAATCTGCCTCTGTCAGCCCCTGCAGTTGGAAACCTAGTTATTAATGGTGATGGAGAATCTGTGAGCCTAGCACATAATGCATCTTTAGCACATGTGCGACACCGTCAACAGTGCGGCTTGGCTCAACGGGGCCGATAATACTGTACACAGATAATGGGCATATTTACCCTTTTGAATATTAATGCAAACCATTACTTTTCAAGTGGAAAACTCAAGCAGCTCCATCTGGATTCCAGCGGTGTAAAGAGAGCAGAGCCTAGGTCAAAACACTGGCATATGTGCATAGCAATTTTCGGAAGCTTTTTAAAGATTCATGGGGACATTAGCATTTAACTGTCTGTGTCTCTTTGAGCGAGACCATTAATGAAATAGGTGAGCTCGTGAAATAACACTTTTGAGGACTAGAGGTGCAGCGGATTAAAAGTGAAAGTTAGATAGATGTAAACAGAGAGAGATAAAGAGTGGCATGGGAGCAGGAAGGGTGAAAAGCAGGACGGATGAAAGACAAGCGATGCGATGTGAAAGGAGCAGAACAAATTAGATTAAGCATATGGGATGGGGGAAAAAAAGAAGAAAGAGACAGATGAAGAAAGGTACAAAGACAGCATATGATGAAACACATTAACATACTGTTCACGGCCCCACAGTGGTCAGACTGAGACACAAGGGAAAAGCGACAGACTGACAAGTTATCAGCTCTGAACCGGTTTTTCACCTTTCCTCATCTGCCTTTGACACATACACACAAACATGTCAATAACGTGAGCTGGAGAGGCCCCCAACGGAGCGTTCATCCTCTTTATCTCCTCCACCTCGATGGGACAGAAGTCATTTTGTTGCCATCATTACCACTTCCCTGAGGGCGATACTGACACGAATGCTGTTTTTTTCTTCTTTATGACTCACAGTATAAATGACACGAGAGTCTTTGGAGTGAGTGGGGGGCACTGGGCTCCCAGAGTGCAACCTATCGCTCAACTGGAGACAGAATGCGATGGGCAAAGATGGAGGTTGTGGTTATTCTACGTCTCAATGCATATCAGCTACTAAACAAAATCCATCTTTAGAAACAGTGAATGCAAGCTCTTTTCTTAAAGTGCTGTGCCGCTGCTCCAAATTATGTTGGTTCTAATTACTACCTTTAAAAATAAGTGTGATGCTAAAATCGCAATAACAAAAACGCCCACACACCAACCTCAACATCATCACAACAGAAAGAAACAAAGTTCACAGTGGGTTATAGCTAACCCACAAGCTTGCATTTCTTTATTTTTAGTTGCACTAAAAAGAACCACATCCATCAAAACATTAGCACCTACTGTTGTCTGCTTCTCCACTTTTATATGTTATGGAATATTTTCCAGCTTCATTAGAAAACCTTGAACACCTCGAATCATACTGGAGATGTTATTATTTACTGTTGGCACCTTAGACCGCTCTGTCATCTCTTCAGAATATCTTAGATTTTATCAGATTCGCTTCTGAAATCGCCCCACTTACAAATCGTTTCAGTAGATACTCAATTTAGACGTTAAATAATAAAGCAACTAGTTTTTACTTTAAGGACAGATAGTACATGTCTAGAATATATTCCACATAAAGGAGGTTATCGATAAAACTGGATGATTATCCAACAAGGCCAACATTCCATCTGGCAACATTAACGAATCAGATCGAGAGTAAAGTTCAACCTTGACACAATTTGTCAGTTTGTGTGTAATCTTACTGACACACAAACAGCACTGATCTTCAGTTCTTGCCTTGACAGAGAAACAGTACATTCACAGTTCAACATGAACAAATAAGAGTATGTGGATGCCCAATAAGGGCTTTGCTAAAAATTGTATTTACACTATAGGGTTTTGTTGAAGTTTGTCATCCTTCAGCCTGCAGATACGCTTGACAAATTCAGGGCATATATCAAACAATTTCTACAATAGCTGGGGGAAAAGTTTCCTCCTTGCTGCAGGCACCAACACTTTAAGTTCAGCCACATTAGGGCATCGATAAGCTTCTTCTTTTTTTTTTTTCATACGGCAGTCGATAGGTGGAGATTTAGGTCAGCGCTCTGAGAGGGCAATTCTAAGACATCGATTCATGGTGCAGTTGGTGTGCTTTGGATTATTATACTGCTGAAACATCCCCTTTTGTCTCTTGATTCATCTTGTCAATGATTTCTTTAAGTTTGCCACCAAAATGAATCTTACTAACACAGATTCATAGACCACCGCAGGACAAACAGCTCCAGATTTTGAGGTTTCCATCTTTGCTTTTCCATTTAGAGGAGTTTGCTCATGCTCCCTCAAGTGGCAATGTACATTTTTTTTTATTTTAGTGATTTTGAGTCCTACTATATTTGTTGTCTATGGATCACAAAGCAGATTAAAATAACTCTTTAAATGACCCAATAAACCTCTTGAATGTTTGTTGATAATTTAAATGTCTGAATCCTCTGTAGGGCCAATGTAAGCAAAATAAATAGAGTCAGAAATATAGAAAAAAATACATTCAGCCATAAGGTTCTGCTTCAAAACTCTCCTCGTAGGTGTGGCCACTGTGCTTTACTTATTTCCCTTCAATATGCTCATGTCATGTAAAAAGCCATACTGTTAATAAACACTTACCATGTCATTGCGACCAAAGAAGGTGTATACGGCGTACAGGTAGTAGTCAAAGAGCTGTGATACACAGTGGATCACATCGAAGGCAATGGGCTTCAGAATGTTCATCATCTGCATGTACTTTCCTGTACGAGGAGGACACAAAGACATGACAGTTATCATATAATTGGCTATATTAGAAGTTTTGTGTGGCTATGATTACATCCCAAAGTGAAAAATGTAATATAGAAGGCATTTATGTTGTGTTTCTATTCAGGCTTCAGGGTTTTTACACCCAGTATCAGTTTATAAAGAATGAAGTGGTTCTGTTCCTGAACAAATCTTGCAGGAGATTAAAAGTGTAACTACAGTAAGTTAATCATTGTAGAACCACATCCTTAAGGGAAGACCTTAAGCAGGAACATGTTGCATTTGCATACAAATTGCAAGGACTTAATTTACCAGAAAGGTAATAAAAGCAATAACTACAGAGGTACAGGAGTGTAACAAGGTTACCATTGACTCAGAACTGATGAATGAAAGAAAGAAAGAAGAAATAAACTCAATCTAGCTGGCTTTGCTACTGAGACACTTTCATTTTTCACGCCCCTTCTCCTAAATTCTGCACCGAGAACTCAGGGAGCAATCTAACTCCATCAAAGTGCTGCAGAGACTGAATTAGAAGCGACTGCATGGAATCAAACTTTGGCTTTTTTCTGGCCTTAAGTTTTTCCACATTGCTCTAAATCAATATTACTTATTGTGTGAAAAAGGATCCAAGTCTTTTATTTTGTCCTGTATGTGCAGGAAAGATTCTAAGCATGAACAGAGAAGACAGAAACAACTTCACTGAAAACCAGAAATGATTACGTATTCAAACTGTGTCATCCTGAAGTCATGCAGCAGAAGTTTCCAGCCCGAGGAGCACAACACAGGAAAGATAACTGCTTGCTCTGATTCTGATTCACACGTGAAAATCACATTATGAGGGTCACGTCGCCGAGGAACACTCGTCCCACGAAGGGTCCAAGTGTCTTCAAAACCACGTCACAGAGACATGCGGGCACCTCTTTGGAAACAGAAGGTCAGAGCTCAGGGCAAAGGCTAACCATTATTAGTGGAGCTCGGTCACACAGACTTTGAGCGTGAAAATCGCAATGATTTGCTCGCCTAATTGATGAATAAATGGAAAATCTCAGCAGGCGGAGAGGGCACACACTGTGGCACTGTCTGGGCTCCTCTCAAGGAGAGGTCAGTTATAAGAGTGTGTGTGTGTGTGTGTGTGTGTGTGTGTGTGTGTGCAGGACCTACCGACAAGCCGGATGACATTGAGGGTGGTGTTGGTGAGAATCGGCGCATTGGTCTTGTTAAGGTTGTAGTCGGACTTTTTCTTGCTTCTTATGGTCTCTCGGGACACACTGATGCACACAGGAAGTGGGGGTGAGAGAGAATGTAGGGCAGAAGCATGAGAAAAGAGACGCTAATCCCCTGCCACGATAGGCTGGGTTCAAAACCTTTAGCGTGGGTCAAAGTCTTGTAATTGATCAATCAGAACCCATTACACAATGCAGGAGATACAGAAGGACTCCAGTGGGGAAATCTCTGAACTGGTGATCCTGGAGCACCAGAACCCTGACACGGAGCTCATTGAGCCATATTAGCCGGCGATCATTACATGGGCAGTAGTCATTACATGGGCTGTCTAATTTCTGGATGTGACCATGCGACCCGTCCAGTAATTAACCATCAGTGATTCCTGCTCGTAAGAATGGGAAATAAGGCTTTTAGTGACTAGGGGCTAATCATTCCAGTCAGGTTAAAATGCAGGAAATGTAGTGTTAAGACAAAAATTTCAGGCATGTGAAATAATGAGACACTGAGCACAAACATCACAAAACTCTCATTAAGTCACTGGACTTTACATAACAGTAAATTATCTTTTTAACAACGCCTCTACTATGAGGTCCGACTGAGTAAGTATGACTGTTTTATGTCTTGATTCTTGTGTGAATCTGGTGTAAAATTTGAGCCGAGTTGTCAGATTTGCATAAACTCAAGCACAGAACTGTAGGTTTATTGGCAAAGAAACTCCAAACAATTAGGGATGTAAAATGCCACACCTCCACCCTGCTGCATCAAACCAAGCATCAAAAATGTATGCGGTTTGTCAGCTTGTTCCATTCAAGAGGAAGTATAATTGCAGCTATACCGTGCTAATAGCGCTACATCAATTATAGGTTTCTTCGAATTCAACACTCCCTGATAATAACAGAGGCAAAATAGCAAAGTTTCCTCAACTGCATTCAAATCAAAATGAATCTTTCTTTTTTTTTTACACGAGGCGCAGACGAGCGTATGACCGCCGTGGTTAAACAGCGACTAATCTTTGAATAGTCGCCAATCACGTAGGTGGATGTGGAAAAGAAAAGAGAATTTTCCATGTGTAGACAAAAAAGCTTTCTAGAGCTTTCTGCCTACTTAGCAGGGTTAGGCAGAGGTGAGCTAAAATTATCGTTGCTGAAGGCATGAAAAGTACCATCACGCATGACTTCACATCCTCTTAGAATCCCCTTACAATAGAGATTCAGGGACAGATAATTGTATTTTTGGTGGCTGTGATCAACATGAGTTGCCTCCAATTGACGTGTGCATTATGTTTACTGTCTTTCAACCAGCTTGGACCCAAACTGATGCCCACTCGAGCAGATACAGTCATCCTCAAACGTATTCATACCCTTCCATTAAAGAAAAGGCAAAATTCGTAATAGACACTCAAATAACTGGAAACTGAATTAAGTGATAACAAATAAAAATTTACTAAATTATAATTTAGCGATATAAGACATTGTGGCTGAAAAGAACAATAATTTTAAAAAAAGAAAAAGAAAGAAAGAAATATCCTGGACAAATTAGAGCACTTTGCTGATGAGCAGTGGAACAAAATCAAAATAGCTGTCAACAGGTGCAGAAGTCTGATTGAGAGTTACAGAAAACACTTGATTGCAGTGATTGGCTCAAAGGGTTTTTCAACAACATATTAGGTTACGGGTCCCATCATGCTTGTTGTTTGTTTGTTTGTTTGTTTTAATACTTCTGTTGAACCACAATTCAAAAGCAATGTCATAATTTTCCATTAAATTTTAGAATACTTTTTTATTGATCCCCCAGTGGGGGAAATTTACACTCCACAGCTGCATCCAAAAATATAGAAAGTACAAGAAAATAACAATAATTAAGTAATATGCATCCTGGTGTCCGCACACAGCAGGTCCAAGGCCCCATCATCTCCTGTTGAGCAGCTCGCATGTTGGCTGAATGTGGGGAGAGCGGTAGAGAGCGATGTATGATTAAAGTCTCCTGAGCTGACGATCAGAGACTGAGGGTGTGATGTTTGCAGCTGGGACACTGAACTATGGATGAGTTCACAGGCTGCAGCAGCATCAGCCGAGGGGGGGGGATGTAAACTGCAACCGCCGGGACGTGCGGAAAACTCCCTCAGCAGGTAAAACGGCCGCAAACATTATTTCAGTCACAGCTGTTTTTTTCCTTCTTTAATGGGAGGGTATGAATAAATTTGAGGACGACTGTATAACACTTCACTTGTGTTCGCCTGACATGCGTGCCTGCAGAGTGATGAGATGTATATCGTAATAGTGTGACTTGGAACTGACCTCTTTTGAGGAACATCACCTGTCTGCTCGTCAACGTAGTCCTGCTTCAGCTCATCAGGCACATCGCTGTCGCTGTCGTAATCCTGATACACGCTCTTCTCCAGCTCATCGGACTCGTACTTAAGAGAGATCAGATGGAGGGAGAAGTGTTACAAATGCCAGCACAAAGAGGAGATACGATGCAGACGAGGTGAACAAAGAAGGTTTAAAAACAAGCCAAACACATGCTGTGACTCGCTGGGAGAAAATTCGATTCCATGCGGTTGATCATGTAACACACTTCCACGAAATATAAACTTGCCACTCAAGATGAAAACAAAATTGTGTTAAACGCCTGTCATAAAATTATCTAAATATTAACCACAAACAAACAGCGTTATCTGGTAGCCCCTGTGGGTGTGTAACCATCAAACGACTGGCTTGAGGTGGAAAAGTAGAAAATTCATTCACCTCTCAAAGGAGGGTTCAGATAAATCCTTCCTGAAATAAGACAATATTTTCTTTGTCCCTAACTGCATGCTCAGGGAACAGAGGCGTCATATAGACAGGATTACAAGCTTAAGAGCAAACCAACCCCGGGCTCCCGTAAGCCTGACATGTCAGATAGTGCAATATTGCTTTTGATGTTGAACCAGAGAAGAAAGCGTATCAGCATAAAAAAGAAAAAAAAAAAAAAGAAGTCAGGATGTCGGGGGTACCTGCGTAATTTCTTCTTTCTATTTTGAGAAATAAACCTTGAAGGGAGAACTACGCTAGTCATAGGAGGAGCAGATGTGTGTAACAACCACAGTACAAAGCAATATTTTCTGGATCACTGTGTTTGTGCTCTGGATAACTGTTTGTCTTATTGTTGAGGACGTGGATGCACACAGCAAATACTGACAGATGAGGAGTGAATTACAATTCTTCTTGGGTCGTTCCACGAAAATCAAACAGTGCCTCCAATCCGACGACTCAGAATCAGATGGAAATTTTGTAGAATAAATCATAGCTTCAGTAGCAAAAGTTTAATGTCTATGACAGAGTTATAGACACAAGTATTGGCACCCTGGATGTGTAATCTTTTTTATGATAATTTGCTGGGAAAAAGTGCATTTTGGGTAAACTTTTAATTGGTCATATCACCATGTTGAAAAGGTGGTTGATCATAAGAAGTAACAGTGAGTGAAATTTCTCATTTTTACCTACGTTTTGGTACCAGGCTCATCATCTATTCTTAATTCTTTCTGTGTCAACATCATTTTCTGTTGCAGTCATATTGTCAGCATGCAGTTTATGGAGAAACAATATTTGTGATCATATGTTTCATATAATAGTTTGGACTAATTACATAGATCTAACAAGTATGAAGGACTAAGTGCACCTTTCGAGTTCAAACTCAGTTTTTACTGTTGGCCTGTTTTGTTGTAACCAAACGCTGACGACGTATAATCTTGATATCCAACACCTGTCTTCTCAGGGGTCCAGGAAAATGATTTTGCAGGAATTATCATGGCTTTAATTCTCTGAGTAAACAGAATCTCAAATTTGAAATTTTGTGTCACAATATCGGAAAATCGTTTGACACAGATTGAATCATGGTCAGAAGATGAGGCTGGCGTTTTAAATGTTGATGAACAAAAATGAGATTTTGGCTTCAGAAAGAGGAAGGTGAAAAATAACGTGTGAAATTTCGATGCGCTGTTTGTGCATCAAAGGCTGGTAACATTTTAAATAGCCTCTTTGAACATACTGAAGCTCTTTTACATTAAAAAAAAATATGCTGATTCTGAGGGGGTCAGATTGAAACTGCTTTCAGATTTTGTTGAATTTATATGAAATGACCCTTTTCTCTGTCTATTATGTCCTACGTATGGCACCAAAGTGGTAGGCCTTGTGATTTTTTAGAACAACAGAGACTGCCAGCTAAACAAAACATTTAGGCAAAAGTGCTTTTTCTTTTTATTTAAAATGAAACACAATTTAGAAAATGTGTTTCTAAGAAATGAAAAGGTTGCACATATTGAAGGACTCGATGATAAAAACTACACTGAAGGAACAAAGTGGGGAGTGTTGCTGTGCTGAGGAAAACTATTTAATCCTCAAAAACTCATCTGTTTTACATAACGTTCCTTTTTCTTGTTTATTATTGGCACATTTCAAAGCGCTATAATAATTACAGCAGGTCCTGCTCTGCTGGTCGCACAACCTTAATAAAAAAAACACAAAATTATTATGTCCCAAATGAACTTGCCTCTTTGTGAATTTGTTTTGCTGTTTTACCTCAACGTGTATGTAGGTGTGTTAATTAGCCACACTACAGATATGATCCACATAAATGAGATGACATATAAAGACAATGGACATGATGATGGCAACAATAAAAGAGCAAACACAGCAATGAGGGTAAATTAATAACTAGAAATACCAAGAAAAGTGTCTGTTCATACTTTATCTTAAATATTCTCAATCATTTTATGAGACGGGTTTGCAATCTGCCATTTCTGAACACCTACTCCGTTAGACGCCAGCACATCCTCCGTCTCCTCTTCCTTGTGCTCAATGTGCATCTCAAAGGGGTTTCCCTCCTGAAGGTACTGCTGGAACAGAGACAGCTCCTCCTGAGGCGGGCTGGTCGTGGACACAGCCTGTCTGCTCGGGGAAACAGACGGAGAGCGACACTGGCCCATGAACTTAAACTCCTGGATTAGAGAGGATGGAGAGACAAACAAGAAAAAGATGTCAACAGATGAGGCACTTGTGAAGGCTTAGAAATGTTCTCTTCTACTTTTACTTGCTATCAATCATACTATCTTACAAGTACAGTGTTACATTCATTGTATCATAAATATGTAGAAAACAGTGGTAGGAACAAAAGAGAATACATGCATCAACAAGACAACCTAACAGGTAGGACTGTCCTTTAATAGTGAATCAAACATTACTAAACGAAAGGAATCTTGATTATATTCGACAGCTGCTGATACCAGGGATGTGTAGTTGTCATCCATATATTACTTTCTAGTCTGTTTGGAGCAGAACTTGTTGCATATAATCACAGTAGATCGATGCACATGGACACTACTGTTGAGCATGTGCACTACTGTTCTTGTAGTATTGTTGGCACGTGGACATAAATGTTTGGCTGCATGTGACGGTACACTGAGGGGTCCAAGTGGACTCCAATGGAGATGACAAAATTTTTGTCGTGAACCCCAGCAGACCCTCACAGATGCAGAGAGTATAACACTGGCCTGAGTCGACAAAGTTTTGTTTGATCGGTTTGTCGCAGGAAAAAAGTAGAAACTCAACTTCCACACAGTGACACTAAAGCTACTTGCAGATAGATCTTATCGTTCACACGGCTGGTTAGGCAGTGATTACATAAGCTGAGCAGGAAAGTGTGGGATCATTTCAAGTGGGTACAAGATGATCCCAAGAAGGTATCATGCAAACTCTTCAGGCAAACATTTGCATCCCTTTCCTTGACCTCCAACATGGCGTATCAATAGAAAACGTAGGTAGCATACGTTACTGAGGCTAACTTTGTGCATGCGCTCGTAAAATTTGGGCTAACAACTACAAACCAACTAGGAAAATCTTAGATCAGGATCAAGCACAAGGCAACTTGCGTGTTCTTGCACCATTTTTGAATTTTGTTAAAGAAAACACTCAACAACCAAAACTGAGATCTTACTTGCCACATAGTGGTTTTGGTCTTTGGGTTTTAATGGGTTGCATTACTGAATCATTGTCTTTACAGAATGTCTGCTGCCAATTCTGTCAAGCAAACTTAAGTCAAGTATTAGATGCCGTGCATAATAAATATAATGAAGTGGTGTAGACGTAGAAAGTCCTCATGGTGGTAGATTTATTCTGAAGGTTCTTTGGCATGTTTGTTTGTTGCAAAGTGTGCCCAAGCAAAGCGGAGATGAAAGGAAAAGAGATGAAAGTGAAAATGAAAAACAGTCTTTGAATTAAGTCCATTTATCTTTTTGACATCTCTTTCCATTCATCACTTCTGTTTCTACGTGCAGCGAGCTGTGCATGCAGTCAGCAAAACGATCTTTTCTTTAAGTTTGTTATCGTGTATGTACGGATGTGATACCTGCAACATTTTGGTTGTGGTTGTAAATTCTACATAAAGCTTTGATGTGCAAAGCTGTACTTTATTTACTGTTGCTTGTATGTGTCCTCTGACATTCATGCCATGAGGAACAACTGTAGTTTGATTTAAGATCCAAGAGTGTCTATTCGTCACATTCAATTCAAAACGCAAAGCGACTGCTCCACCAGGCTGTGCGTTAACAAGAAGACGTGATTAAAAACATTCCTTAAAAATAGAGAAAAGTTATACATAATGAGGAGATTGTGAATCTTGATCCTCATCTGTGTTGTACAACGTGCAGTGAATTTTACACACCTGCACAGACACGCACAGGTAACTGAGGAGAATCCCTTGTGCTTCATATGTTTATGCAGATTTCCCAGCGGTGGGGTGTGCAGTGAGTGACAGTGAGGAGTAAATGAATGCTACTGTCAGCTTCTTACTCACGTGGAGTTGAGCAATGTTGAAGTTAGACTTGACTGGACACAGTTCCCACGACTCATTTTCCAGAAACATCCTCAGCTCTTCCAGTCGTGCCCTGAGGAGTTTTGAAAAAAAGAGAGAGGAAAAAAAAAAAAGGAATAAGCCCGGAGCAGAAAAACATTAGGCACCAACATTTGTCCATTTCATATATTAAAGCAGCTCCTTTGTCGAGACCATAGATTAAATACAGTAATAAATCAATAAAGCCTGTAAAGGTCACTGGTGTGCAGTGAAGGAAGAGGTGTGTCTGTGTGTGTGTGTGTCTGTGTGTGTGTGTGTTGTTTCTAACATGTTTCAATGTTAACTTGTCATCACAGCTCAGAAGAGCCACCCTGTGCGCTCACACGCTCAGTCAACATGAGGATTTTCCTGTGTGAAATGTCACAGCAGTGCTGGTTTCAAACACTGCAGCACCTATTGTTTCTTGTCCTAAAGGGTGTTTGAAGTACAAGAAGTGAAAGGACGAGGGAAGAGACAGGTAAAGCTGGCAGTTGACTTCAGCTCATTTTATACTCATTTAAATATATTTAACCAGTCACTTTGCAAAAGCCGGCTCCCTTTTCCCTGCAGCTACGTTCCTCAAAGTTAATGCATTGAGAATTAAAGGACGTTAAAACTTTGAAAACATTTCAATCACTCACAGCAAATGAGTTCCAAAAAAAAAAAAAACAAGCAGAGATTACCGACGGTGCAGCTCTTATATATTTATAATGTCTGAACCCTGACAATGTCATTCTGTACTTTGCATCCGCAGGCCAACAATACACCCCCGCTGATGACTGAGTGTGTTGTAGCCGGCAGCTGACAGACAATACAGGCAAAGTTCACTGATGGGTAATTTCTGGGGGAATGAATCAAGCTTAATGCACGCTGGAAGCCTCCTGGCGAGCGGCGCAGATGTGTGCGTACGTGAGACTTTTCGTAGTGTCGCTGTTGTCCACCTCCTCTTCCTCCTCCTCCTCCTGTTCTCTTGGTCTGTCACCTCTTACGCTCTTTTTCAGCTACAATTTCACACTGAGATAACCTTCATCTCACCACCTCCAACCCAAAGTCGTTTCCCCCATCATGTCTCCCTTCTTTACCGCTTTGTGTCGCAGGCATGAAGCTAATTACAACTCTGATATTCAAGCATCAGAACGCTTCTTGACAGGTAACCTTAACGCTGATCGATGCAAATCACGTCTGATGATGTGGCGCTGTCTGTGTGAAAGAATACATATTTATGAGGCTGGCGGGGGGGGGGGTTATGTAATCAAGACGTAAATGTGCTTCCAGCTCGGTGAGAGTTGCCATGTAATTACACTCCAAAACAGGGTTTTGCTGGGAATCCGGCGTCTTAGAGGCAGCCAGCGGTTGCGATTGTGTGCAAAAGTTTCTCTGGTGCAACGACAACCTGCTGTCTAAGAGTCGGTTTCGTCCACCCCTCGATGAAGCTCATCTTTTATGAACTGGAAACACATCTGCTGTAACTGTCGCAGGTAACGATCAAAGAGAAGCAGCTCCCACAACTCACCGGTGATAGTTTTTAAAGTAGTTGACACTCTGGCGTTTGATAGACTCCTGCAGGACCTCTGACTTACTGCCGCAGAACTCCTCACCCACCTGCATCAACCTGAAAGAGAAGGTTAAAGGGAACCAATGATGACAAATGTGACTATAAAGGCAGCTTTTTTTTTTTTTTATCTTCAAGCTGCAGTTTAGATCTCTGAGTCATATATTATACACAATGAGGGAATTTAATAAAAGTATTAAGTGTACTTCTTGGCGAAATGGAACTTCGATTTTGCCGGGAAATACACCTAATACTTCTTAATAAATTCCTTAAAACACTTATTTTACTCGACTTTGCTTTGTTCCGAGTTCGGTGAGAGAAATGTATAAGTTCACGACTGGCAGATAAAGGTGGTTGTGACAGAACACAAAGTTGTATCCATGGTAGCAGACAATGCTTCAAACAGATGTTGCTGCACAGAAACTACACAATCTAAAACATGGGTGTATCCACACATCTTCCAGCACAACGGTTTCATTGTTAGTGCCATCAATTCAGTGTCCTGGTAAATGTGAAATACGATCACAATCTCATCTCTGTTCATCAGTTATGGTTTGAATAATGACCAGAAAAGTGATTTTTGCAAAAACAATAGCATGTGACAGTGAAGTTGACCTCTTGGATATACAATGTCCTCACTTCATCATTTCATCCTATTAGACATTCGTGTGAAATTTGTAATGCTTGGCTTGATCATTCTTGAATTAGGGTCAAAAATGTGAGGTCACAGTCACTTTGGATTTCGGTCTTTGACCACCAGAAATCTGACCCATTCATCCTTGAGTCCATGTGAACATTTGTGCAGAATCTGAAGAAATTCTGAGATATGGCATTCATGAGAATAGTATGACCCAAAAAACGTAATGCCTCTGACCACGGGCGTCCAAAAACGGTGGGAGTAGATGAAGCGAGAAGGAGAACCAAAGACAAAACCAGAGATAGAAGGATTTGGTGAAACTAATTGAGCAACAAAGAGGAGTGACTAAACAAACAAAACCTAAAAAAAATAAAAATAAAAATCCAATTAGCCCAAAGTGTAAAAATAAATCCCCTAGTGAAAGGCGCTGCACTAAGGAAGCCAGAGTGGTATTTTATAGCATGTCGCCTTGAAAGCTGCAATAACCAAAACAGCTTTATCAGTGACAGCAGGAAAGAAGCGGTTCTCTATCTTCAGATCAGTTATGAGAAAAGAGAAAACGTTGGCACCGATTTAACCACTGAAGCCACTCTTGGTATTTTGTGGCAAATACAGGTTTATATGGACACATTGATGCACACACAGAATTATTATTATTAGTAGTAGTAGTAGTACCAGTAGTAGTATCATTGTTATTATCATCATCATTATCATTATCATTACTATTATTAGTAGTAGTGGTAATAGTATTATCATCATCATCATCATCATCATTTTCATTCGTATTATTTTTATTACTATCATAGGTTAGGAGTAATGTAATTAAGGGAATAATCAGATGAATGAATTTAGTTATTAATGTTTTTATTGCAAAAATCTTCAAATTTTTACTCTGTACACTAAAAGTATGCGCTTCAAATAAAGCATACATATAAAAATAGGCTTTTATTAAGTTAAAAATGTGCATGTCATTGTCTAGATTTGTTGTTCGCATTATTTTTCTCAATGCAGAAAAAAAACTTCGTGGATATATCAAAAACAGCCCTTAGCTTTAACGTCTCGAGAGGAATACAGCTGTGTGTGTGTGTGTGTGTGTGTGTGTGTGTGTGTGTGTGCGTGTGTGTGTGTGTGACTGACAGCTGAGCCAGTGGGGGCACAGAGACACAATGTAAACATACTTGCTCTGGTAACTGTAACTTATTGCTCAGGGGTCTGCGTCTGGATCATTTACGATGTTAGACTTCCGGAACAATTAGCAATAACACAATTAATTTTTTTTTAACTCACTTGTAATTTTTTTTGGAACATAAATTCAAGTTCAAGACAGATAAGAAAAGTCAAATACATTGAACTCTAGTTGAAGAAATTAAACCATTTCTCTGCAATCCTTCACGCATCAGTGTGACCCCTGAAGTCCTGATCCTACCACTAACAGTACTACACGTACACTAGTTATAGAAATTGTGTTCTAGTTAAGAATGAGATATCTTTGGCATCTGTGATTTAGGAGGGAACCATGACATTCATGGTAATTATAAGGGAAATAAGCCACATTAAAGCAGCATTCATTTGTGAATAAGCTCCCGCTACACTGTATATCATTTGTGTCACTAACAACTGATTAATGGAAAATGGATTTCAAAATAAAAAAAATTAAAAAAAAACCTTGCACTTCAAGATGCAGTGTCAATTGGAAACAGAAATCAGACATGGATTTATCAACACAGACTTAAACAAGGACAGATCGATTTAAATTCAGGCAACTTTTTTATTTTTTAAAAGTAAATAAATAAAAGAAAAATCTCAATACGTGACTCATCAGCAAGGATATAAAAGATGAATAATCCAGAGTGGGAGCAAAGGCAACAAAACTGTATTAATGTTGATCTTAAAAATACTTTAATACACTGATGGGTCCTTCCTGACTCCATCAGTACTCATTATATGCGGTGTGGGGTTTGTCTTTCAATTTGGTTTGGACGTTGAGAAGCCCTGGTGTTCTGTTAGTAGTGCTGTTGCTTCTGATTTTATTTATTTTTTTTTTTTTTTAAACGGTGTAATGGAATACTTGCAGCTGAGCGTATCTGAAGCTAAAGACAGCAGTATTTGTTCTAGAACCGAAGCTCATCCTCTCTAGCTCCCGTGTGATAAGAATGTGTGGTGTGTGAAAAGTTACAAATATTTGAGATCGACTTTTTGTGAGCGACTGTGCTTTCAGGCACACACATGCAGGCAAGTGCTGTGCAAAAGACAAGAGTGAATTTACTGTGTTAGAGAGTGTCTTAGGAAACTTAGATTACCTAACTGATGGAACTGTTGGGACAAATACTACACAGAGTCTCCATAATCTGCTGTTTTGGTAATCTCAGTGCGAAATACAAAAACAACAGCGATGTCAGAAACAATGATAAGACCGCAGGAAACAAAGGAGCCTGATCTGGTTGACGGAAATGTTCCACATCGAGCCTCAGACAGTGATCATCTCTGCATCCAGAGTTCACTGATCGAGACGACCAGAGATTTGCCGTAATCCTCACAAATACATGTTTGTTTCCTGGGCAATCAGATTATTGAATAAGCACACTTGGGAATTTTGCAACTTTTGAATTTGAGGATCGGAATGTGGCTTTTTTAAATGTACTTATATTTAATCTTTTATCAACTTTGAAATTGTGTTGTATTGCTGAGATGTTCATGTCTGGCTGTTATGCTGCAACCAAATTGCTCGTATGGGATCCTAATAAAGACAGATATTATTAGGATTACAGTTGTTCAAAGCATAGTTTTAGTTTTTATGTGCACTTAAACAAAATGCTGATATGAAGTTTGCTATTGGACGTGTGAGCATATGTGTTTGTGTACAAGTGTGTTTCACTTATTTGAGTAGATTTGTGAGTAAGTGACTGAACAAATAAGTACTGTGACTAAGAAAAGAGAGGGCAGCAGCATGGGGAAGTGCTTTAGATCAACCTGATAAAGAGGAAAAAGAAGCACAAAAAAGAAGGTGGCAGCGACAGCAGGATAATGAAGACCAATTAGCGGAGACAAGACTGATCCGGCTACACCGGTCCCGAGGCGTACCTGCTGATGACATCCAGTACCACAATGAAATCGTCGTATTTGAAGTTTGACATGTCTGTACCCAGGATGTAGGCCTTCACTTTCAACTGGACATCCTGTAGATAGAAATGAGAGAGACAGGGTGATTTGTGAGAGGACAACTTGTGACTGAGCCACTTTCACCGGAGCGGAAGTCTAAAAGGAAATAAAGAAAGAAAAAGTCGGAGCAGAAGGAGAGGACGAGATGTACTCCAGAAAACAAGAGAGAGAGAGAGAGACGAGGAAGCAAGACTCCTCTCTACAAACCTGCCAGATCCGTGTCAGTCCGTGCTCCAGTTTCTTCTTTACATAGCTGCGGTCCACCATCAACTCATCAGACTCTGCTGCTGCTGCTGCATCATCTGCAGGAAATCAAGAAAAGGCACACAGACGAATTTTAAAAAACACTTATTAAGAGATTGATAAAATTCCCTTTTATCAATTTCATTTACCTACTGCTTGGCTGTCATTTCCGACAAAAGGAAATTCATTTAGCTGTTATCTGTTATCTGACAGAACCTGAATCTATACAAAATATTAAAAAATGACAAGTTGATAAAAAACAATCTTTTGCTCATGTTAAAAAAAGTGATTTGGTATGCTTTAATATCAGAAGGGAAAAGTCGATCTGCAGATGTGGCCCACTTAAATGCTGTCAAAAGTCTCACAATGTCAGCTGAAGACTCCGTCAGACTTTTTGTAGTGGTTGCCAGTCAGCGTCTGACAAGAGCTCAGGTCATATACTCCCCGAAAGAGAAGGAAGACTGACAGCAACCTCGAAACCAATAGGACGACGCTGAATGACAGTTAAATAAGGTGTTGGAGTCCCATTCACTGTCAGAGCGTCAGACATGGGTCCTCTTCTACAATCACCTCACTCTCCTCTT